GTGTATTGCTTAAATTATACGAAGAGACATGGAACTTACAGTGGAGGGAAGAGGTTACGAACAACAAATGGTTAGAAGCTGGGACAGGCTGAGCGGCAACGCCGATACTTCGTTAAAAATAGATTTTTTTTTTGCGAGGGCATATATATATTCTTTTTTAATTTTTGTCTATGATCTACCTCTATGTTTTGATATTAATTACACAAATGCCGTACATTTTGGGATACAAAAAAAAACAAGATTACAATTTTGATTAGTGGAAATATTAATACGCCACAGTCGTATTGGAAACGCGTTGTGTGTTGGCGAATGGAACACACATTCAACACCATGTGTCGCGACAACTTCGGCTCTTAAAACATTGTCGGTGAATGTTGAAATTACTGCGAATAACGCAGGGTATGTTTACACAAATGCATCATCATGGAATGCACGTGCCAATATTCCAGAGTGTCAACACACATATCATGTCATTTGGAAAGAGTACAGTACGGGTATTACAAGAGTTTCCGTGCGCAGAATCCAAGATGGTAGTCGTGCGTCAGCGTGGTCTGTCCTTCTGATGCGTAGGCCCTGAAACCCGACATTGTAAGTATATCGCTGAGAAGAAAAGCTACATAGACGTCGAGGTTTTCGTGGTCTTAGACTGAAGTGGCTTCAGTTCTCCGTCTTGGTTATGGTTGTGATGCGCCGCTTTGCGCTTCTTCTCGATTAACGACGGACATATGCCTTGGGAGGAAGCAAAAAGAAGATATAGAGAGGTCGTGTGAATTTTAAAATGTCGGTTGTCATGGTAACGTCTGTCTATTTGTGTGGCGTTAGCAGTAGATTGAGAGATTAAAAGAGACAGCGAGAGTAGGAAAGATAAAGTTGTTTGATGTGTGTCTTGATCCCATAGAAATTAGCACAGCATTGAGTGTATCGTTTATAAAACAGAGATCCCATAGATGTCACAACATTAAGTGTTCGTGAATAAAACAGGAACCTCATAGTAGAATGTATCACAAAGTAAACTATGGCCGAAATGAGACATATATTATTTACAATTTAACTCAAAATAAGTGTAATAGAATAATAGAATAATAGAGCATAAACAGTAATAGATTTACACAAATTCATTAAAACTATGCTAACATAATAGTATACTAGTATTATATAATTATCCTTCGAATATGCCAATTATAATGTAACACTATTTTTCGGGTGTGAAGTAGTGGGGATAAATTTCGATCCGCAAAAGTACAATAACAATGCCAATTGCCATTAATTGTGACGTAATTTTCTAAAATGATATTCGATACAGAACTTAATTGAATGACTTTAAAGGCTTCCGTCGCTACTATTCATATGTAAACCAAAGCCAGACGACGCAAAACAAGTTTCCAGTCGCGCGCCGCCTCCACGTTGTAAGAAATTAAACAATACGTGGTTATTTACGAGACGACACAAGATATTTATTACGCGGCGTTTCCTGCAACACAATTTCCTAGTTATATTTCTATTATGTAATAAAATTAGAAAAATTGCAATTTTAAATTAATAAAAGGAGTGCGTTCAACGCTTCATTCGTCACGACATTTAATCGAAGTCCATTAATACACACATATATACCGTGAAACGAGCGTGATAATGCTTTCAAAAGGGATATAAAGACACCTTAATAGCTGGGATATTAATTGTACTGCGATAACACATTGGTGGATTTACACTTCGCATTTTATTGCTTTTTTATCTGTCTAATTATACATAAATATCACGGTTTATATGGAAATTTATATATACGCACATTAAGTGGTCAGTGAAAAATCACTTGGGTTTATAGGAATGATCTGCATGGTTAGATCAGTTCTTCGAAAGTGGTTTAGGAATAATTGTCATGGTATCATTAGTTGGGTTGTTCGGAGGACGGGATTTGTTTTATGAAGCATGCCACTAAAGCAAGATGGTCATTTTGTACTACTGCTTGACGATGTCACCAACTTAGACTCGTTCAGGGGGGTGGCGAGGCGCTGGATAAAACTGTTTAGGATTTCACAATAATTTGAAGTGACGAGCCTAATTGTCTTCCGCGTCCACCATGCATATCTCTGAACAAAATCGCATGATTCCGTTAAAATATGTATTCAAATATTAATTCCTACAAAATGAAAAAAGGATTCAAACGTGACGTAATATCTGTGTTTTGAGAGATAAAACTAAACGCTAAATTTAAACAAATTACTCGAAACTTTCTTTCGATGAACACGTGTACGCATATTTCACCACATTCTACTATATCGGAGGGACGCCCCATCAACCGACGTGACAAACATAATATAGACTGCTCTGTCACAAATTTATCATACGAATACTAAGTACAAATACCTCACAATTTGTTACAATGTTACTATCATTCCTAACACTGTTGTGCGATAGAATGGTTCGCCGGTGGCGTAAGTGAGCGAGTGTTTAATGACACAATCATGCAAAACAGACACGTCACGTGACCGAAGACAAGCGACAAAGGACAGACAATGCAATACCTTGGAATCGTTCAAATACAAAAAATAGTCTGCGTAGATTAATTTAATGCTTGGGGTGCCTTGTTTTTTGCGCGTCATCATTGAATGAGATTCGTGAAAGTCAATTAAAAAAAATATGTTTTCTTAAAAATCTGTTGGTTTTGAATTATTTTGAACAGCTCAGTGGTTCACAATCCAGCGCACTAAATTAACGTCATATGTGCGCATGCGCGTTCCGGCGCGCGAAATGTCATAAGCCACGCGGAAAACAAGACGCGCCAGACCAAGCATTAAACGTCGCGTGTAGAAATGTTTAAGTCAATTAAAAACTGACAGTATGTAGTGAATAAAAAACAATATTGAATTGAACAATGAAATGTATAATAATATTACACTTACTGAGCAGAAGTGCAGATATAATTGAGAGGTCGGGGTTACAAATAAACGTTTTACACAATTTACATGTAAATTAGGACAAGTGTGACGTCATTAAAACATCATACCTAACCTAACATTATTTTCTAGTTTATGTTACATCACAAAAAGGAGCACATCAATTTATAAGGGGCACATTAATAATAAGGAGGGCTCTATTCTATAATTGATATACACATCCTCCACATACGTATAACCCCCCCCCCACAATTTGGGTAAATAATATATGTCCTTCCCACCCCACTACTCCCTGTAAAACTCGTCAAGTCTCCCCAACTGCTCGAACGGGTAATCTTTACTGATGTGACCTTCGTTATTTCTTATGTTTATACGCAAATTACGGGGAAGTAACCGCTCGTGTAATTCCAAGTGAATGGTCATTTGTATTTTGTATAATTAATAGGCACACAAACAACCCATGACAGTGGATATAAAAAAATAGATTACCCTGGGTTATTTTGACTTGCAGTATGAAAAATAGATCGCGTCATTATATTTTGATATTTTCAGCAGAAATTTTATTCCAGAATTTAAACCAAATTTATTGTAATCAAGTACGAGACATTGAACTCATTCATTTTGTAAGCCAGTTATATCCGGAGGTATTATTCAGATTATTAAACATCCGGATATAAACCTATATCATTTTTTACAATCCACATTACATCCGGGTATTTTACATGACGTAATTATATCCGGGTGTTTTGCGTTTCAGGAGGAGAGTCTTTAGGCTGAGACTCACAGATAAATCCAAACGCCTCCTTAAAGGACTGTCTGTATTTGTCGGACATGATGTTGTATATAATGGGGTTCACAGCCGAATTGGTGTACTGCATGATTCGAGCCATATTCACAAGTCCCCATACGAGATTCTCCGGTATTCGATAATCCCAAATCGATAACAGGTTCAGAACTCGTAGTGGTGTGATGCATATAATAAACACGGCAATCGTCACCATTAACATCCGCACAACCTGTTGCTTCATTCTAGTTGAGCTAGCAGCGGAACCAGTCGCTGCCGTTCTCGAGAGCCGCCGCAATTGGAGGACGATCAGCGAATAGAGGGTGGTGATTAACGGGATGACGAGAAGAATTAACAAACTATCAACTGTCAGCAAACGCTTCCAAATAAGGCAAGTGTAATCCCCATGTTTTGCTATGCTACAGAAATCGCATTTAACAATGTCAGTTGGAAATTCTTCGGTGTTATTGGTATAAGAGGACCAGTCCAGGCATTGGTACACAATATCCGCGAAGTAAATCTGCGGTGATTTCAACATTGCTGCTAGAAGCCACGTGAGAACGATTGTAGTTACAGCTCGGGGTCTTGTGCTCATCGTTTTGAATTTCATCGGCCAGCAGATTGCAACATATCTCTCGACTGTAAGGACGACCACAGTCATGGTGGATACGATGAAGCACATATCCGGCGAGAAGATGACGACAACCTTGCAGATGCCGACCCCGACAGCGGAATAGTCAATCTGTACATCGGAGCTTGCATGTTGCACCCAAAACACGGGAACAGCCGAGCACAAGAAACACAGATCCGCCATTGCTAAACTCACGAGGTAGTAATTGGTCACAGTGCGCATGTGTGCCACGCGAAAAAACACGTAAACAACCGAGCTATTACCGATAACGCCGACGACAAATACGATTGGCATGAATACGGTCACTAAGGCAATGTCTATTGCCGAATAAACGAAATATTCCGCGTTGCCAGGGTGAACCGACACGCACCCCTGTCCCGCCACGGCATTGCTGTCGCCAGTTTCATTGTACCACGTGGCGTTGCTGCTGGTATTTCCCCAATATTCCATGATTGCTCAGTCCTGAAAAATACAAAAAATATAATACATAGATTAATATATGGAGAATGAAGTACATATATGCTATATAAAAATATCATTTACAATAATGTACGGGTCAAGTCATCTGTATAAACGATTTAAGAACACGTGATCATACGGAATTTACG